ATGTTAAGCAGTGGGCAGTTAACGGCTGATATGACAATGATGAAGCCAAAAACTAATTTTGAATAAAACTTATATTTACCACTATATTTTTAAATGGCTTTGTTACAGCCATAATTATTATTGGATCATACTAGGTGGCTAGTTTGAACTGAACTTGAACAATAAATTTTTGTACATAGTTGCAAGTTATGTTTTAAGTTTGTATTTGTAAACTTGTATTATGTGCTTCAAATAAATATATAAATGATGCACAAAATAAAATCATATTTTATTTTTATAGTAGTATAGTATTATACGTAAAAGCAAATATTAAAATTCGCCGAATCCAGAATTTTCAACGTAACTTTTCCACAAATTGGCTGAAACAAAGAGAAAAGTTCGTAAGCTCCGAATATAACAAATAGCCTCGCTATCACTAGCGTTTGGATTTTCGTTTCAATTGAGTATTTTCAGTTATGAATTAATCTTTGTTTCGTAATGTTTTTGATATATATTTTCATAGATATAATAATAAAATATAAAACAAAATATACCTATAAAATTTTTGACATCATCCTTCTTCATTATGACCCTATAGCTGTATCTCGCGATTTTATATATATGAATATATATATGTGAGTAGATATATCCTAACCGTTTTGGTCAAGTTGACCACTTCAAAGACTCTGTAAACGAGCATGGGCCCTCATATTATACCTCGCATACCTCACTTTATTTATGAAAGGGCACATGCATTTTGGGCATGAATTTGATGTTATTGTTACATGAATACTCGCTGGTGGTTGGCCCTTCAGGTTGTGTCTTGGAGGTCTTAGGCTTTGGATTTGTTTTAAGATGCTGTTGCACATCCCTCGCCCTCCCTTAGTTACCTCTTACAATACCCCCGGGAGAGAAAAGGGTGGTCCATTCTATGTCGGAAATTATAAATTATAATACACATTAATTATATACCATTCGAAGTTGCGAGTAAGACCATAATCTTTACCTACCATAAAATATTCGAGCTAATAAATTTAATTTTGATATTTCTTTTGATATAAACCTCAATTTAGTTTGTCTTCGAAACTTCGTATTAATTTTTATAGTAGGTATACAAGAAGCTACCATACAAGGAACATGTTTTATTCCTTGCATGATAGACAGAGAGAACTGATTACCAAAAACTTACATACATCTTTCTTTGCCAATACTAGAAATTTATTTATCTACATTAGAATAAAAACGAATTTGTACCTAATCATAACAATAAACTTCTCGCTTTAGAAAGAGCGGCCAAACAATTCAAGCTATCAAAATGCTAGAAAAATGCATATGGCTGCAGCCAAGATTTGTACAAGCGCACGTGGAACTATTGGCCCTTAAACCAGAGTCAGAGAAGAAGAGTATACTGACGAAGTTGGTGGAGTTGGAACCAAATAATTGGGAACATTTCGTGCTTTACGGAGACTGGTTGAGGATGAAAGGTATTTACTGAATAAATAAATACGATACTCAAAATTAAATAAGATATAGATATAGTAAGTGTATTATGAGAAATTAATAAATGATTCAAAATTAATATAGTCCAATTAGAATATTAATTGTATTATGAGACACTAGGTTCCCAAAGAGGGTTGACGTCAGGCAGGTGGCCGGTAGTAAAACTAAAAACCAAATCTTTTTATAATATGGATAAAATCATATTACGCCGACCCCAAATGATTGGGATAAGGATAGGAAAATAATGATAATATGAGACACTAGGTAGCAAAAATATAAGGATTCATCATTTAAAACGGTACCAGTACTACAAAAAATTTGTTTCATAAATTGAAATCGACAAAGAAGCGAACCTGTAATCACATTTACACGTAGTGTTTACTACGGAGGTCTTATTTTTTATCAAGTTTCCAGTACAAATTTTCAAATAAATCTCCAAAATAAATTTTGAAAACATTTCTCCTTTTTACTTTTTTGTTAAATCTCTGTGCGCAATATTCCAATACTACATTTATTTTTCCTTTTGCATTAACAAAAATACTATGATATCTTTTAATTGATGAAAATGGAATGGTAAGCCAGTCCACGCTATCGGTTTACACTAGCGAGACACTAGTAAGAGATGATAGGAGAGGACGAAAGCAGATCCAAGTGAGGGATTCAACAAGAATTAATCGAGACAGTTTTTAGAGGGAATCACGTGGAGTTACTATGGTATTATGAATATTACATTATATAGACATCATATTAAAAGTTAAGCATAAGTTTTAAAAATAAAAAAGATAATTATGTTTCTATATTATAAATTATTTCCTAACTAGCTGTAATTATATTTCGTATAATGACTGCTTTTATATGCTTGTTTTACAGTAGCCATTTTAAAGTGATTACAAACTCTACAACATATATAACAGGGTTATTAAAGTTGTATAAAGTTTTCGATACTCGTATTATGAATAACGTGTATGCTGGTTACTAAGCGGGTAATATGAATACCGATCCGATATATAGATATTGGGTTACTCTAGACATTAATAACGGAAAAAAGGTCATCACCCATTTCCATATCGTTTATTTCGGTCGGATATCTATTTTAGAATATGTTAAAAGTCTGTTATCCAATATTATTTTTTAAAGAGAGAGGTACCCAAGCAAACGACTTTTGTACAAAGTCTTCCTATAGTATCTATGGTATATCTGTTGTGGTTTGTGTGTTGTAAGTAATGCAAATAAATTATATATCTCTCTATGTTACAGGTCTACAAAGTCCAGCCTCAAAATACTACTTAGAAGCTTTAAAACTGAACTTTAAAAATCGAAATATAGATAAACCAATTAGAGGTGACCTAATTGCGTTCAGATATACAGTCTTAATGTACAGATCGTTAGGACAGAAGTCCAGAATTCTACAGCTATTAACAAGGTAAGTATATAAATAGACAAATGAATATATATTTTGTATATACCGCGCCCTTCGATTGTATCGTTCTTGAGGCTCGAACCTTCAACTTGTTTATATGAAGGTTCGAGCCTCAAGAACGGGTCAACTTTTCGTCAGCTAATTGTCAAATTATATGACAAATTTTTTATCAGTTCTCTACATATTTATGCACATAATGTATCTTGACGTATCTATATTTAATAATTAAAATTTGGTTTTTACATATTAAAAAGGCGCGAAAATTATCAAATAAAATAAATATAAAAGTTACAACAAACATTCATTTATTACGCAAAATTATATAAAAAAGTTGACTCGCTTTTCTCCAAGCATTTGTATGGAGACACTCTATCTATATAATCAAAGACTGCGTTTTATATCTCTTGTCTCTTTTCTCAATGTTTCCTACCTGAAGATTTTCTGGAAGAGATTGCTTAACAATAAAGCAGTCTTTTATACCTCATTCATTTATTTACCGTATTTTTTTATTTCTGTTACTAATGCAACAAAGAATAAATACGTAAATGAATAACAATCTCATCGCTAGGTGGCACACGTGGCGACGCGGCTGGCCGAGTGCAGCAGCGGCGCACATGTATCTACGCGACTGGCGACTCAAAATGGAGCTCGAGGGACGGGTGCAAATATATTCCAAGGCTGTTAATCCCACTGTACGTTTCTCTTTACCTTTACCTTCTTTATTGTTAAGTTTTTTATGCTATACGCATTTTATGTTAAATCCACAAACGACCCAACGTGCTGGGTGGACATGCTGATTTTGCATTTACAAATTTACAATTCAATTTGAATATTGTAGTTTGGTCAATTGATTATTTAACCATTATAATAATAGAACATGTTTTGTTACAGAAAACTACTACCTGTTTCGATCACTCGCAACTATCGGGTGAAGTCAAAAAAGCAACAGAAGATAAAACAAATAAGTATGAAGAAAATAAAAATCAACTAGCAAATTTAAAGCGTGACGACAAAAAAGTTCTAAGTGCTGATAGTGACAGTAATAGTGCGTGCGAATGTAAAAAGTGCGGGACCAAAAAACGTAACGTATCTATATCGTCTCAAATCAAAACAACCCATAATAAATCAGAAATTGGACATAAGGAGAAGAAATGTAGTTTGCATAGAAAAGACAAAACAGTGAAAAACAGTGGAGTCATACCGAACATAGGTGGGTTGTCTGAACATATTCTTATGAAGACATTTTAAGTTGATAATAATGATCATATAAAGTGTGATATTTTGAGTGTGACTATTTAATTTGATGACGTAGTAAAGTTTGTGCTTGCGAAAATTGATTTTATTTCCATAAAGGAACTCAATAACGTTAGGTGTAATGCTGACAATATCGCAAAGTTGGACGTAGATAAGGAAATAGTTGATGTCAAAAATTCTATTAAAAATATTTTATAAGTTGGAATCATCGATCAGTAATTACCAGATTTACATTTTTCTTATAAATCATTGAATTACAAGCTTTTACCTGTTACTTTGCTCGCGTGATTGCGATATATTCACTGATCGGGATAAATAAATTAGCCTGTGTTCTCCATCATATATAGTACCTAAGTACTAAATTTCATAGCGATTAGTTCAAGTATTAAGGTGCCAAGACGTAAGAAACAAACATTTACATTTATAACATTAGTAAGGATTATTTTGTTTTGTATTGCTTGTATGCTAATTTGTTTAATATTGAAAATTGAGGTTGCAGCAATAATACAATCATATTTCATTTATACCAATGTGTATATATTAATTTTTTGTACTTTAATTTTCTACATTGCATCATTTAAACAAAGTATACTTATTAAAATAATGTGTTAAAGATCATTGATAGGGAAGATAGCATCCTGTTTGGATGATATTTTATTTCACTTTTTGGACGGTGACTGTAAATCTTGTTATTACTAATCAAATATGAAAATCTAATTTGAAATCAAATTCATTCGAATTTTTCTAAAATTATATACACATTGGAGAGAAAATTATTAGATGTCCGGTTAAATATAAATATATTATATATAATTCATTCATAACAGTTAACAGTTTTGCAGACTAATAGAATTTTTTACATCGACATCATTAGATAGATAACTAATTTTAAACATTTGTAGAGAATTGAAATGAAAAATATATTTTTGTCAATGGTTAAAGGTTAGGTGATTTTTAAAGGACATGCACAAAGTTTTTACGCTAGCATTAGAATTTATACGATACGTACAAACGGCTCGTTGGACGCAAATAAAAATGTGACAAGTTTCGTTTTATTTTCAAAGTGCAACATTTGCAGTGCAAGTGGTTGTAACGTGAGAGCTATAAATTAAATATTTATTGAATACATGACTTTGTGTTGTCATATGAATTATTATTTACTATTTCGTCTATTTTCGTTATTTGTCTGTCTAGTTTCGATATTTGTCTATTCCGTTGCAGTATTACAGTTACAATTGTTTTTTTTTAACTGATGTTGCAAATAAAATTGATGCTTTATAGACCGATTGGATTTTAAAAAACTATCCTCCTATATCAATAGTAAACTCAGTAGCTTCAAAAAGAGATTTTTAATTATCATATACTTTTTGTACATGTAAAAAGTACTTGGTAATTTTTAGTAAATTAGGGTAAAGGAATGTTAAACATTATTTACGCTGATTCTCAACCGATTTTTATAATTCTTTTTGCAATTAATCATATATTATATCAGCCATTAACCGTCCACTGCTAAATATAGCCCTCTCCCTACTGGGGGGTTTTGCCAGAATTAGCCACACTTGGTAGGCGAGTTGGCTATCGCTGTTAGACTTTGGTGATGTCTAAAGAGGGACGCTGCTACCCATTCCTTAACCTTTAGTCACCTCTTACGACACCAGTGGGAGAAGATGAGTTGGTCCATCGTATACTACGCCCACACGAAATGTTTAGTTCCATGTTTTTTTTTTTCAATGGTTGATAATGGAATAGTAACACCGCCTGCGTTAACGGTATATACGAGTACTTGCGAAGCACCAGTGAGGTATGATAGGTGAGAATGAAATCTTTCATTCTGTGTAGGTTTAACATTACTTTTGTCACGATCGATTTTTTTGCGAAATAAAGTCATAAATTATGAAATAACGAAATTCTCGTAACGCTAAAGGGAGTAAGACATTATCGTCAATGAATATTAAAAAGAAATGATGCGAAATATTTGAGAGCTTTTATATTTGTATATAAAAAGCTCAAGATCGTTTATCGTGGTAGTCCTTAAGGAAGATTTATGTTCAGTAGCAGACAATGAATGCGTAAAATGATAAAGATGTTGATCTTTATATAGCTAGTAGATAATACTATCTTTTACTCGTGACTTCGTTTGCGTGACTAGAATAAAATTGGCCGGAATAAATCGTAGTCTATATCCTTTTCAATCCCATATAGTATATATATATACCATCTTTGCCGCTTATTATCAGGTGGGCCGTATGCTTGTTTGCTACAACAGTGGTATAAAAACTACAAACTTACACTTTTATAATATTAGTAAGGATTTATATTCGTACCAAATGAAAAAAATAACTGGACCAATTTCAATCAAATTTTAATTGGATCCAGATAAACTGCATCAGCTTCTGGTATTACGCAAATCTCCATAAAGGCCATTGTACTAGCTTATGTGCGTTTTGTCAAATTTTTGGGATATTTCACAATTTTCCTGTATAGTTTTACTTAACTATCTACAGTTAATTAATGTCTCTAACTACCTCTTAGAGATTACAGTTTAGCCGTCAACTTATTTTGTTTAGTTTTAGCTTTTGTTTCATTATCAATATTACATATATATATATATATATATATATATATATATATATATATATTAGGAGTACAAATAAGTTTCCGCCGTTTTTTAACACAAATTAAATATTTATTATAGAAGAACGGTAATATAGATTTATATAAAATATTGCCCATCACTTGCAACCACTTTTTCCCATCTCTCAGGCAGCATTCGAATTCCACGTCTGAAGAACTCCTTGTCTTTTTGAGGCTATCCACGAATCAACCCATTTTTGGTATCCTCATAAGATGTAAACCGCTGCGTCGTCAGAGCATGTGCCATGGACCGAAACAGGTGATAATCGGACGGTGCAATGTCTGGTGAATACGGCGGGTGGGGTAACACTTCCCAATCAAGTGTTTCCAAGTACTTTTTTACGGGAGCCGCAACATGTGGACGAGCATTGTCATGCAGAAGAATAATTTTTTCGTGTCTAGAATAGTATTGAGGGCGTTTTTCTTTCAGAGCTCGGCTCAATCTCATCAATTGTGTTCGATAGAGGGCTCCAGTAATTGTTTCGCTCGGATTAAGCAACTCATAATACACTACACCTAGCTGATCCCAACAAATAACAGCATAAGTTTTTTTCCGTGAATATTCGGTTTTGCTGTTGATGTTGACGCGTGGCCAGGTAATCCCCATGATTTTTTTCTTTTTGGATTGTCATAATGTATCCACTTCTCATCACCAGTTACGATACGATGTAAAAAACCCTTTTTTTATGTCTAGCTAGCAGCATTTCATTTAAGCATAATCGGCGTTCAATATCTCTCGGCTTTAATTCGTACGGAACCCAATTTCCTTGTTTATGAATCATTCCTAATGATTTTAAACGATGTGAGACTGCTTGCTGAGTGACTTCTGATGTTAGAGCAAGTTCTTTTTGTGTTTGAGATGAATCCTCCTCCAATAATTCCTCCAATTCTGCATCCTCGTAAATTTTTGGCCTTCCACTGCGATCTTTGTCTTCTACGTCGAAATCACCGTTTTTAAACTTTTGAAACCACTCTCGACACGTTCTCTCACTCAAAGCACCCTCACCATATGCTTCTACGAGCAATTGATGCGCCTTAGCAGCAGATTTCTTTAAATTAAAGAAGTAAATTAATATTTCCCGCAAATGACGCTTATTTGGCTCAAATTTTGACCAATATCAAATCAATAATATTAATAGGTTATGTTGGTCTTGAATGTCGAAACTATTTTTAAGCCGGTTATCATCTGCGAAAGCTAACCGAAACTCCGTGCCGCGCCATCCACAATAAAACGGCGGAAACTTATTTGTACTCCTATATATATATATATATATATATATATATATATATATATATGTAATATATATATAATGTAATATATATATATATATATATATATATATCATCCGCCCTTAGTAGTAAATACAGAAGAATAACACCTGAGTTCTCAGGAATGGCAACGTATGGGAGGTATCATGGGCGAAAAAGTATACTCTGTTATATCCATGGTACTGCTAATGTCTATAGGCGACGGTTACCATTTTCCATCAGGTGGCTCGTCAGCTTATCCGCCATTCTAAGTTCCATAAAAAAATATATAAACCGTAGTGGTTGCTGTTTTCTTTATTGTATAATTTTCCAAAATTATCAAATTCATACACATTATACTGCTATGTCTTTGTTAACTAAATTAATAACAATACTGTATAATGTTTTTGTGGACTCTATTACGATAGTTATTACACGACAGATATCACGAAGTTAATTATTATTATATCCCGTACTGTGGGTATCAGTGCTGGGATTACAATAATATTGTTTGTTTATTTGCATTCCATAAGATTACAATTGGTATCTGCTAATGTATTATTATTATTACAATGAGCATTATGGACTTTGTTGGGAGCGGCGAGTAACATTTTTTTCTCAAATATGCTTGGAAATGAGAGCATTATTTTGACAATCTTCTTCGAGATAAATCAAAATTGCCGTACTGGCCAGATACATGCGGGCGGCGGCCGGCAAAAGTTGTATGAAAATCTATATCTGTCGTGTTTTGCGACCAAATACGAGTAAATTACTAAGTAAACTCATATCTGTCCTGTAATTTAAAAATGGAGTGACGTTTTATTTCGAAACATGGCTAGTGAGAAGGTAACTAATAAAAGGTTTTATTTAAATTTCGAACTGGCTTGCAAATAGAAACCTGTTTATTGAAAAAAAAAAAACAAAGGAACATTATGGCGCGTGAAAAATTATTATTGTTCGTTATTCGTCATTGAACTTAAAAAGATAAATTGTGTTTTTGATTTCCGCGCATTGTTTGAGGAAAGTACTATACAAGCCTTGGCCATAACTAGGCATTGATGGACTCACGTATGTGTGCCTCGCCTACGCTTCGGCCCACATTTGTACGTTCGTCCATCAATGCCTCAGTTGCTGGCCGCTGCAGTAATGTACATTATACAGTTTTTATAAAACAAGTTTGATTCGCTAATTATTTTATACGATATCAGCAATTTTTTTTTATTTACATTTAATTTGAAATATTTATTTTATATACTAAAATATAAGGTATATTGATGTAATTATAATTATACGCTACAACAGATAGATTGACAGTCGAGATTGTGATATTGTTAGTGATTCTTAGTTAATAAATAAAAAAATTAAACTGTTCAAAGGGTCGTTTGTGAGTATTAAGGAATGTGCCACATCTAGCTTACAGTAACCGCTTGCCTTTATAAGTCTAAATTGGCGGCAACATCACGAGTGCTTGGTGCATACGAAATTGTAGATCGAAAATTTTTGTACAGTTCATATTGTCCGAGTTTCATATTGCATTTGAAACAGTGTTTAAACAAAACTCAATACTATACAATAAGATGTATATAATATTGTTAAGAATAGACTAAAGGCACACGGCATTGCTTTGAATGTACTGAGAATAAAACAATTGGAATTATACAAGTTGCAGTTTTATTTTATCACTAGCGGCCCGTCCCGGCGTCGCACGGGTGGACATTTTTACATTTTAAAAAGTGGCCTTAATGGCCGTTTGTGATGTTTGTAATGTGAATTTATTGGGTACAGAGGAATAACACCAGAGTCCTCAGGAATGGCAACGCATGGGGGGTATCATGGGCGAAACAGTATACTCTGTTATGTCCATGGTACTGCTCATGTCTATAGGCGACGGTTACCACTTTCCATCAGGTGGGCCGTCAGCTTGTTTGCCATTCTACGTTGTATAAAAAAAGAGAAAAATCCTATTCTACATAAGCCCAGCAGTGGGCACTCAACGGTTGAAATAATAATATTAATTAGCCAATAACATGCCAATATTTTATTTAAATAAACTACGTAAATATTCTGTATGGGCAAGATCCACTGGTTATGATTACACACAGTTATGGAATTTTGTTATTTATTTATTAAAACATAGTACATGTCCTTTTCGTGGTACTGTTCTCCTGTAATTACAAAATTACGGGAAAATCCAGTTAATAATTCTTACAAGATTAAATAGCAATTAAATCAAAGAGCTTTTATATTAAATTATTGATCATTCTAATTAGTAAAATCCTGTGTCAACAAATTCGAAGTAACAACCTATATATTTAGGGGGAAAGGGATTATTAGTAATGGAGATTGAGAATCCCATTGCTAGCAATATACCCAACCAGGTCAACCTCCTTGCGGTTCTCCCTGGAAACTATCATGGTTAATTCCTGATGAATTCATCATGATGGGCTAACTGGCCTGTTTTCATTCTCATCTATCACCCTTCACTGGTGCTCCGCCAGCGTATTCCGTTAGCGCAGGCGGGGTTACCATACCATTTTCACCCATCAAAAAAAAAAAAAAACTTATATAAAACATTTTTTCGTTATTACAAGTGGGTTTGAAATAATATCTACGCAAGTGACTCTTAAAATGGGTTCCGAGTGACTCCTACACATATATCGTAGGAATGTTACATCATTAAATATTTGTTTTTTAATATAGACGCTAGTTTTATACCACATTAAATACAAAACAATTTTTTTTTATAACACAGGGGGTAAATTACATGCGGTTCACCTGATGGTAAGTGACTACCGCCACCCATGATCACCCACAACACCAACGGTATTGCAAGTGTTCTGCCGGCCTTTTAAATAAGAATATGCTCTATGATAGGTACATTAAAAGGTGATTAAGTAATATTATAAGATTGTGCGATGGCCCATTTTTTGACCGAATCACACAATATCTTATTCTTGGAAAAGTTGTATCCAGAAAATCTAGGACTGATAAAAAAATGGCTCTTGATAAAATTCCTTCTTATATGTATAGTTTTTATTATACTACTATGGTGGAGAACAAGAATTCGATCTTTGGTAACCAGTAGACCTGATGGTAAACAGTTATCGTGACTGATGGACGCGAGCAACGCTGAAGGTATCACGCGTACGTTGCCGACCCTCAAGGAACCCTATTTGAAGACCCTTGTTGAAGAATCCCATGTTGTAGTCTCTAGGGGAAACAGCATTAAAAAATTAATTCCACAACCTGAGTGTTCGAGTGCGGAGACATTGTTCAGGCAAATTAATTCTCTTGCGTTTCTTGCATATATCCGGTACGTTCCGGAACTAATTGTCGTCAGAACGTCTCGATGCTCTGCTTTATCCAGGCTAAAGAATTTGGACTTGTTTTTAACGATACAAACGAGTATCTGTATTTGTATAAAAAAACTACATAACAGAAAACAATCCGTTCCGGGAAGATAAGGAAGTAAGTAGAATCCAAACCGAGCATTTCTCCATAGTTATAACTAAACTAATATTTTAACTAGCTTTTACTCGAAATTTCGTCCGCGTATATTCACTGACCGCGATAAAAAGTATCCTAGATCCATTTTCATCCCATACAGCACTTCATATTAGCCGTCTGTCTGCTGCTAAATATAGGCTTCCCCTTTGGGAGTTTTCCAGTAGTTGTCACG